TCTCTCTCTCTCTCTCTCTCTCAAGCCGGGCGAGGCCGCTAAGCGTCACAAGGCAGGAGCCTTCGGCAAAAACGCGCGAAGTTGCAAGAACTGAAAGGGAAAAAAACACCAGAGTATGCAGGCTGTTTGCGTCTCCCGTTCCTGACAACTTCTCTGGCCTCTCAGATTGCAAGAGAATGTACAGGCTGACAGGGTCATACACCTGACAAAAGAAATCATGTAAGTCCTAAACCAGCTACTGAAAACGCATGCCAAACAAAACAGCGAACCTTGTATGACACTAGGCCCTAAACCCTAAACCCTAAACCCTAAACCCTAAACCCTAAACCCTAAACCCTAAACCTACCATCTAGGTCACACGGTGCCAACTGCGTGGTGCACATACTGATGCACCAACCGTATGTGCCATGCGCGGCTTTGTGTCTTGGGTTTAGGGTTCAGGGTTCAGGGTTTAGGGTTTAGGGTTTAGGGTTTAGGGTTTGGGGTCTAGGGTTTCGGGTTTAGGGTTTAGGGTTTCCCGCCGTAGCCTGCTTTCAACCACAAATACGAGCTCACAAGTTTTGTCAAAGACTCACATTGAGGAGAGCCTTTTTTTGTGTCAACAATATGAACGACAAAAACCTGGCGTTTCTGGCTGCAGCATGAGTCCGGAACAGCAGCGCCAACTTAGTTAGGGTCTCAACCCACATTCTCAAGAAGCCCTCTATAAATGTGTGTATATATATATATCAATAATTAATAACAATAACAAAAATAAAAACAATAATCATAATAGTAATAATAATAATAATCAAGGGATCTGCAAGTCAGAGATAACGAGGAAAAGAGAGATACAGAACAACAAAAAGAGAGAAAGAGTGAGATGAAAATAGAATGAACAGCGACATAACGAGATAGATGATGAGACAAAAAACGATATAAAAATAGAGATAAAGAGAAATATAGATAGAGATGGAGAAAAAGAAGGATAGGAAAATGGGAAGAGATAGGAAGAGATAGAGCCGATGTATGGAAAGAGAGGGTCCCAGCCAGTCTCCCCTTTTCTTCTTCGTTCGTGCTAGCGGAAGCAGCGGGCGATTTTCCACCCAGGCTCTTGAAAGTACTTCCGAACGTCGCGAATTCGTGCAATCTGAATCCACGGCTGAGCGAGCATGGAACAAGACGTGAATGCGAACAGAGTGAGCAGTAGATGGGACTGCGACTGTAGACTGTAGATGGGAGGGCGGCAGTAGATGGTCACAACGTCATGTTCACGACCTTGAAGCTCATGGGATGCTCTCGTTTCGGAGCACTCCCTTCCGCCTTTGCCATGCCAACAGCTCGCAGAATTTTGGGGGGGCCTTCGGATGAATGCTGAAACCGTGCGGCTCCCCACACAACGACCAGAAACATGCGGATCACTTCAGCAGCATGCAGCCATGGCCGGCGCTTCTCCTAGAAGGAGCGCCTCGCAACCTGGCCAAAACAAGGCAAGAATGACCCAACAGCTGACTTTTATCACACATTCTGGGGACCTTGAACAACCGCACACCCAGAATCCACTCACTGGTTCTTGGTAGGGAATGAGAGACTTAGATATCCCCCGATATATGCCAGAGACATAATATTCCATGTAGCTATGTCATATAATATAGTATAGTATGATACATATGTACCCTTCAAGGGACTACACAGGGTACAGTACCTAAGTCCCTCCTTCCTTACTGAGAACCTGTAAGTCAAAGCAATCCTCCTTTTACACCAGGCGCCCACCCCAGCCTCGGCAATCAGGTCTGCGCCTCAACCACCACGTCGTCTTTCATGTCTTTCGTGCCCTCAACCACCACGTCCTCTTTCATGTCTTTCCTGCCACAAGCCCCCCAAAATACTCCCCCAAAAAGCCCCCAAAAACCCCTAGACCTCAACCCTCAGGCCCCCCTAAACCTTCAACCCTGGGGCCCCCCCTGAGACCCCTAAAACAACCCTGGGGCCCCCCACACCTCAACCCTGAACCCTGAACCCTAAACCCTAAGCCCCCCACCCTAAACCCTAAACCCTAAACCCTAAACCCTAAACCCTAAACCCTAAACCCTAAACCCTAAACCCTAAACCCTAAACCCTAAACCCTAAACCCTAAACCTCAACCCTGAGCCCCCTAAGCCTAAGCCTTCCACCCAGGCTTCGGGTCAAAGGCTTCAGCTCTCGGAGCTTCGAGCTCAGATGTCTCGAGCGCCGGGCTAGGGTTTAGGGTTTAAGGCTTAGGGCTTAGGGCTTAGGGTTTAGGGTTTAGGGTTTAGGGTTTAGGGTTTAGGGTTTAGGGCTTAGGGCTTAGGGCTTAGGGTTTAGGGTTTAGGGCTTAGGGTTTAGGGTTTAGGGTGCTGCCAAGCGTCAAGACGACCTCGCCGAACTTCTTCACAAAGGCCACGACCTGCAGCTCGGGGATGGACCCTAAACCCTAAACCCTAAACCCTAAACCCTAAACCCTAAACCCTAAACCCTAAACCCTAAACCGAAACCCTAAACCGTCAGGGTGTGTTCCCAGACTAGATGGGGGGGGGGGACTCCCCTGACATACCCCCCCAAAATTGGGGGTTTCCGAAATTAGGGGGTCCCTTATTGGGGTCCCTATTATAGGGGTCGATGATAGGGATCCCCTATTTTCGAAAACCCGAATATGTTGATCCTTGTTACGGGAACCTCCCCAGCACGGGCGGTATTCTGGGAAACCCCGGTACCAAAGCCTAAACCCTGTCTTTTGCGCAGGATTGAGGTTTTAAACAGCGCGCTCCTGGGTTTGGACTTAGACGGGTCCCTTGTTCATGGGCGCCGTTGATGATAAGGCCACTTCCGAAAAGGTGCCGAAGAAGGGTTTGGCGTCTAGGGGTTGAGGGTTTGGGGTTTAGGGTTTAGGGTTTAGGGTTTAGGGTTTAGGGTTTAGGGTTTAGGGCTAAAGTCAGGGGTGCACATGGGGCTCTGGGTGTTGAGGCTTTCAAAGAGAAGCCCTGAGCCGACGATTGGATTGGAGGGTTTCCGGTTTAGGGTTTAGGGTTTAGGGTTTAGGGTTTAGGGTTTAGGGTTTAGGGTTTAGGGTTTAGGGTTTGATATCAATAACATACCATGCCAGCTGCATCACTTAAGGCCACAGATGTAGATTCTGAAACGTCTCCAAGCGCACACCCTCTGTGCACTGACATGCGCACTCCCATGAGGGTCCAGAAACTTACTACAGGTCACGGAATGGAAAGCGCCAACAGAAAAGATATCTCTTCTCCGATACCTCCTATCACAAAAATCTAAGCTCGCACTGGAAGGATGCTTCGGTACCTGAAAAGCATAGGGTTTAGGGTTTAGGGTTTAGGGTTTAGGGTTTAGGGTTTAGGGTTTAGGGTTTAGGGTTTAGGGTTTAGGGTTTAGGGTTTAGGGTTTAGGGTTTAGGGTTTAGGGTTTAGGGTTTATGGTTTATGGTTTAGGGTTTAGGGTTTAGGGTTTAGGGTTTAGGGTTTAGGGTTTAGGGTTTAGGGTTTCGGGTTTAGGGTTTAGGGTTTAGGGTTTAGGGTTTAGGGTTTAGGGTTTAGGGTTTAGGGTTTAGGGTTTAGGGTTTAGGGTTTAGGGTTTAGGGTTTAGGGTTTAGGGTTTAGGGTTTAGGGTTTAGGCAACATTCCGAGACAGTAGAAGGACGGCCGCTTTCAAGGCAACATCCAAGCTCCTGCGGCACCCTCAGAACAAAATCCAAGCAGGCGCTCAAGACACCACCACAAGCCAAAGTACAGGCCCTACCGGGACCTGCCCTAAACCCTAAACCCTAAACCCTAAACCCTAAACCCGAAACCCTAAGCCCTAAACCCTAAACCCTAAACCCTAAACCTCAACCCCACCTGGGCCGAAAGATATGCTCTCAAGACCGCTCTGGCTCCAAACCTCAATCAAAAGGTCGTGGAGAGAAAAGAAACACAGGGGCTCGGAAGCCCGAAGCAAGAACCTTCGGGTAGAGTTGTGTTTAGGGAGAGCCACCCTAAGTCCCGCAGAGTCGTCCCCGGCCTGTGGATTGTTGCTCCGTTTCTTCAGGCCAAGCATGATATCTTCGGTGGCCCACTTACTGGTGTCCTGGGTCCACTGCATGTCCTGGCAGCTTGAGGTTAATTACAGGGTTCCGAAGGGGGGGGCGGAATCATGGTGGGTAGGTGCCCAGGGAACCTTGAGGAAGCTGAGGGAGCCTTAGGGTGTGGTGGGGGGCATTAGGGGGCCTACATACCTACATACCTACATACCCTAAACCCTAAACCCTAAACCCTAAACCCTAAACCCTAAACCCTCTCCCTTAAGGACCCTTTAAGTTTTAGGGCTTCGGGTTGGGGGATTCTGCTTCGAGAGCTGGCGAGGGGAGGTCTCCAGCATGCTGAGGTGGTGTTAGGGTCGAGGGTTGAGGGTTTGGGGTTTGGGGTTTGGGGTTTGAGGGTTTAGAGTTTAGGGTTTAGGGTTTAGGGTTGTAGGGTTTAGGGTTTAGGGTTTAGGGTTTAGGGTTTAGGGTTTAGGGTTTAGGGTTTAGGGTTTAGGGTTTAGGGTTAGGTTTAGGGTTTAGGGTTTAGGGTTTAGGGTTTAGGGTTTAGGGTTTAGGGTTTAGGGTTTAGGGTTTAGGGTTTAGGGTTTAGGGTTTAGGGTTTAGGGTTTAGGGTTTAGGGTTTAGGGTTTAGGGTTTAGGGTTTAGGACCACCAGTGTGTACTAAGGGCCCTCCTGTTCTCTGGTTGATCAGCCGCTTGGGCTTTCAGGTCCTTGTCTGGCGCGAACAGGCTGGTCTTGACCCACAGCGAACCATTCCCGAGCACGAAGATGAGCAAGGAAACCTGGAGCGTGCTGCCAGCAGCCGTAAAGCCAAGACCCCGACCCTACACCCAACCCTCACAAACAATCACCCAGAACCCAGCAAAACAGAAACAAAAAAAAGAACAGAAGACGAAACCAGAAAAAGCAAGAGTGCTCTTGGTACATACTGGTGGTCCTAAAGCCTAAACCCTAAACCCTAAACCCTAAACCCTAGACCCACACTAAACCCTAAACCCAAAACCCTAAACCCAAAAACCCTAAACCCTAAACCCTAAACCCAAAACCCAAAACCCAAAAACCTAAACGCTAAACAGTAAACCCTAAACCCTAAACCCAAAAACCCAAAAACCCTAAACCCTAAACCCTAAACCCTAGACTCTAAACCCTAAACCACCCTAAACCCTAAACCCCAATCCCAGAAGCCAGGTTCATGATGGCCATGGCCAAGCCAAAGGTTCCCAGAACCCAAACTGACACCGCGCCCATGAAGAAGATGCAGGACTCCACCTGGGTAACGGGTCCCAGGGCTTTGGGGGCTAAGAGGGTATGGGGTTTAGGGTTTAGGGTTCAGGGTTTAGGGTTTAGGGTTTAGAGTCTAAGGTTTAGGGCTTCGGCTTTCGGCTTTCGGTGCTGATGAGCCGCAGAGGACGAACAACATCTAGTTAGGGGGCCTCGCTCAGTTGGGAGAAGACGCAGCAAGAGGGAGATGTGATTTTGGGGGGCTTGGGAGTTTTGAGTTTGCTCCTAGAAACCCGAACCCTAAACAACCGTAAGGACACAACCCTAAACCCTAAACTCGCAGAACGGAAAGGCCAAGAATCCATGTAGACGATGGGATCTCCCAGGGAGTCTATCCTCATCAGGAAGAACTTGATGGCGTCGACTTCCGACAAGGGGTCCACATAGCTGAGGTGCACCACCTCAGTCGTGGGTTTAGGGTCTAGGGTTTAAGGGTTCAGAGGGTTTAGGGATTAGGGTTTAGGGTTTAGGCTTTAGGCTTTAGGCTTTGGGGTTTAGGGTTTAGGGTTTAGGGTTTAGGGTTTAGGGTTTAGGGTTTAGGGTTTAGGGTTTAGGGTTTAGGGTTTAGGGTTTAGGGTTCGGCAAAGGATCTCGGGTTCAAGCCTGACCGCTGCGCGAAAGCACTGGCCAACACGGGCCACCACCCAGATTACGGACCGGAAGAAGGACTCGGCATACGCACGTCCCCAGCCCTAAACCCTGAACCCTGAACCCTAAACCCTGAACCCTAAACCCCCTAAACCCTAAACCCTAAACCCTAAACCCTAAACCCTCGCCTTGCTCATCCCCAACACTAACTTCTGATTCGGGTCGCATGGGAACACATAGGTTTTTTTCTTAAGCCCTCCGACCACCCCGGACCCCCGGATTCCTCAGTTGTCCAGTAACCGGGGGGAATTAAAGGCTAACCTTTGTGACTATCAGGGGATTACATTGCCACAAAAAGCTTAAAGGTTACCCACTCTACTACTCCGATTCGCCCAAGCAAAATGCAGACTTATATTTCTCGCCGTGTCGAGCAGGGCCTGGGAAGTGCCGAAGCGCTAAGCAGCTTGCCCGAAACCCTAAACCCAAACTAAACCCTAAGCCCAAGCTAAACCCCAACTAAACCTTCAACCCCAACCCTAAACCCTAAACCCTAAACCCTACACCCTAAACCCTAAACCCTAAACCCTAAACCCTAAACCCTAAACCCTAAACCCCCTACGCAGAGACTGGGAAGAAGGCCCTTCGTCTTTTTGGGAAGTAAACTCTCTGCACGTTAAAGAAGAGGAAGCATCCCTAGCTCCCTAACCCTTTCAAAGTTTGGGGTTTAGGGTTTAGGGTTTAGGGTTTAGGGTTTAGGGTTTAGGGTTTAGGGTTTAGGGTTTAGGTCTCAGGGTTTGCCAACTTCCCCGGTTCAGCTTTGTGGGCCCCTTCAGGCAAGACACACAACTCATGATTGCAAGCAAGTTGAACAGCAATGAGGCGATACCTCGGTGCAGGGGGGGGAGGGCTCGCCAGCGCTTGTGGGCTTACTTGGAGGTTCATTAGGGTGCGTATGAGTAGGGTTAAGGCTACAACCACAGGTACCCTACTTAAAACGATACTTATAAGTACCCCATGAACCTCCAAGTAGGGGCTTGTGCTCAGGGAAAGCTACGGTTCCTTAAAGCAGAGCTCGTAGACTTGAGGCACTCAGCTAGGGCCCATGATTTTGATCGAACCCCCCCATATTGTCTGCTTGGAAACTGTCGTCTTTCACTAAACCTCCGACAGCCCTAAACCCGAAGCCACCACGACCCTCGCTAAGGATCACAGTTGCGGCTACCGCCTTGAGCGGTTCACTGCAGGTCGAGGGAGTGTTTGAGGTTCGGGTGTAGGGCCCTTGGGGCGCCAAGCAAAACACGAGGCCCTGAGGCCTTCCGAAAGAAGATCTTGCAAACACACACTTTTTCCAGAAGCGCTGGAAGGGAGGTCGTGGTGCTGTCAGCCAGCAGAGCCCGGCTCCGATTGGGCAAGTGCGACAGCAACCGCCTCGGCAACGCCATCCTCCGTACTGGGGCCCACGACCATGGCTGCAGCCGCCTTGGCCACCGGCTTCGCATCTCCCATGGCGATGCCCAGGCCCACCATCCTCAACATCTCCACGTCATTCCTCGGATGGCCCTTACAAAAAAACCCTCTGAAAAAAAGAAATCCTCAGTACGATCCTCTAAGTAGCCCCAAGAAAGGAAAATACAGGGAGAACAACCCCAAAATACAGGAAGATGTAGGCAAAATGACCCCCAACAAAGGAGACAACATACGAACCTGTCATACCAGAAGGGTTTTTTACCGTTAAAAAAAAAACCTAAAAACCCCATAAGGGTTTTTTAACGTTAAAAAAAAAAAACGAAAATGTAGGCAAAATGACCCCCAGCAAAGGAGACAACATACGAGCATGTCATAAGGGAATACCCAGACCCCTAAAATAAAGGAAGATGTAGGCAAAATGACCCAGCAACAAAGGAGACACTATACGAACATGTCATAAGGGCGTACCCAGATTCTCAGCATCCCCACAGGCCACGGCCGAGTCCAGGCCCAAGCTCAGCGCCTTCAGCAACTTCGCGACCCCGGTGCCTCTGAAGCTCCCCAGAGGATTAGGGTTTTTAGGGTTTAGGGTTTAGGGTTTAGGGTTTTGGGTTTAGGGTTTAGGGTTTAGGGCTTAGGGCTTAGGGCTTGGGGCTTAGGGTTTGTTTAGGGTTTAGGGGAGGGGGTTTTCACTGGGGTGTTCCCCCCTTCTACTAAGAGTCTTTAATGGGGATTCTAGTACCCCCTATTATAAGCCATTAAGGGCTGCTAGCATAACGGGGAGCATCCCAACTGACTTTGGATAGAACCTGTGCTACAGAAACTCGGAAGGACTGCTAGGGAACTCCCCCAAAACCCTTAGCCACTTCCTCAAGCCCCCCAAGGCCAAGCCCTAAACTCATCCGCCGCGCCTTTGTTCACCCCAGGAGGCAGAATCTCGCATTGCCGGGAGCCGCAGTCGAGAATCGTCGCATCGCCACCTGGACCCATCGTGACAACGACTTTCTTGGGGTTTCCGGGGGGGTTGAGCACTTGGGTGTGTAACGGCACGGTAGGCGTGGAAGGCTTAGGGTCTTTGTGGTCTTTAGATTTAAGGCTCAGGGCTTTTAGGGATTCTGGATCAACAGCTGGTTCATGGCAAAGGTGTCGAGACCATCGACAAAGCACTGCTTGCCCTCAAGTCCCCTGAAACCTAAACCCTCAACCCTCAACCCTCAACCCTAAACCCTAAACCCTAAACCCTAAACCCTAAACCCTAAGGTTCTTTCGCACCTTGGCCTGCCAAGGATCCCCGAAGCGCCGCGACGACGTCCGCCATGGCCGCCCAGCCTTCGTCTTGGGGACATGTGAACACCACAAACTTGAAGACTTCCTCCAGCTCGCCCAGGGAAGGCCTTTTAGGGTTTAGGGTTTAGGGTTTAGGGTTTAGAGTTTAGGGTTTAGGGTTTAGGGTTTTGGGTTTTGGGTGTAGGGTGTAGGGTTTAGGCCTCAAGACCATCTCAGGCTCCCCGGCACTTCGGATGAGGTCGGTGGCCCAGGTGGGGCCCTCAGGGGCCAGCTCCAGGTAGCGCAGGGAGCCTTCCCAGATTGTGGCAGCCAACACCGACACGCGGAGCCCACGAAACCGACCTCCAGAAGTGCACTGCAAAACCGTCGCGACGGCGCTGGCGGGCAATGTGGCGGCAGCAAGGATTTTCGGTGCTCCTGTTGGACCCGCCTCGAGGACCAGGGCACCGTTGGCAAAAACACCAGGTCCAAGTGGCACCTGGGCCCGGAGCTCATCGTACCAAGGCCCGGGAATCCGGCCGGTCGCCACACACACCTCCAAGCCTCGGTCACGTGCCGTCTGCAAGGCCTGCCGGTTCTTCTTCGAGAGCTTGGCGTTTGTCCCGAAGGGCATCAAGGTCCCATCGACGTCCGTGACCACCGCGCGGAAGCCAGGCCCGCGAAACTGCGCGAAGGCCATAAGCAGACCACGCAAGCAAGCCAAGCCAAGCACAGCAAGCGAAGCAAGCACAAAGGGACCTTCAAGTCTTCTCGGTGGCATGGCGACAGCAAGCGCCAAGATTCATGTTCACAGCTCGCCACAACTGAGCCTGAGCCTCTAAGCCTTCAAGGTCCTAAAGTAGCGGCCCCCCCAAACCGTCTAAACGCAAAGCCCTGAGCAAAACTGTAACCTGCAGATCTTTACCCAGAAACCCTCAACCCTGGGCCCCTAAATCTCTGTTGAAACCCTTCGGGCCCTTCATCTCCGAACCTCATGAGGCAGGACAGCCACGGAAAGCATGCAATCTGGTCAGGGGTCTGCGAGTTTGGGGCTCAGGGGCTTGCAACTGGATGCCATGATTTAGACATGTCTGTGGCAACTGGATAATACTGTTTTTTGGACAAGTTAACAAGATATGGTATCCAGTCGCAACAGTCAGCTGGATTAGTTCTAAGAGCCTCAATACCCTGAAGCTTGTAGGGTTTTAGGGTTTAGGGTTTAGGGTTTAGGGTTTATGGTTCAGCATCACAAATTCACTAGTCAAGCAGTGTGTCAACTGTTGAAAGAATACCCCCCCGCCCAAAGAGCCCCATAACGTTAAGAAAATATTCAACACTATTTGTCTCAGATAAGATTTACTTCTCCCCTATATATATATATATATATATATATTGCAGCATATTTCTTTGAACACACACACACACACACACACACTTTCGGGTTTAGGGTTTGGGGTTTAAGGTTTAGGGTCTCGGCTTTAGGGCTAGACCCTCCCCCCACCCGCACCCCCACCCCACACCCCACACCCACCCCACCCCCACCCCACCCCACCCCCTGCCCCCCCTAAACCTTAAACCCTAAACCCTAAACCCTAACAACCTAAGTCAATGCCAGAGAGCAAAGAGCCCCATAGAACTGCTGGATCTGAATCTTGTCCCCTGCATCCAAGGTGAAGCCTGTCGCCAGGCTTTGGGGGGACTCTCGTGAGCTGAAGGGTGTAACACCAAGGAGACCATTGAGCCACCGCTAGCCGTGGAGCTGGGGTTTTGGGGTTTTGGGGTTTTGGGGTTTTGGGGTTTTGGGGTTTTAGGGTTTTAGGGTTTTAGGGTTTTAGGGCTTTAGGGGTTTAGGGTTTTAGGGTTTTAGGGGTTTAGGGTTTTAGGGTTTTACGGGTTTTACGGGTTTTACGGGTTTTAGGGCTTTACGGGTTTTAGGGGTTTTAGGGTTTTAGGGGTTTTAGGGGTTTTAGGGTTTTAGGGGTTTCGGGTGGGCTTTGCCCCACCTCGTGGTTCGATGTCGTCCATCTGGAGCATGGCCATCACCATCGTCAAAATCAGCCTCCCGAGGTTCCCCCCCCAAGAAGCAAAGGGTTTAGGGTTTAGGGTTTAGGGTTTAGGGTTTAGGGTTTAGGGTTTAGGGTTTAGGGTTTAGGGTTTAGGGTTTAGGGTTTTGGGTTTAGGGTTTAGGGTTTAGGGTTTAGGGTTTAGGGTCTCAGGGTCTTTAGGGGCTTTTGGGGCTATGGCGGGGGTTTAGGTTGTAGGCTTTAGCGATCTAGGGTTCGGGGTTTCGGGCTTTGGGTTTAGAGTTTAGGGTTTAGGGATTAGGGCTGAGCCAAAGGGATTTAGGGTTTAGGGTTTAGGGTTTAGGGTTTAGGGTTTAGGTTTAGGGGTTTAGGGTTACTTCTAAAGCCTGAACCCGACGATTGGCGGACTAACAAGCAACCCTTGATAACCTAACAGTCTTAGCTTCTGCGTAGGGTAACTCTGGTTCCAACCTTATTTAGGGTACACATAACCCTACTTTCTAAACCTAAACCCTAAACCCTAAACCCTAAACCAAAACCCTAACTCCCCTGTACTCTCAAGCAAGCTGCGCAGAGGTCACGCCGACGTTGGTCCACACATTCCTGGTCGGCGGCCCGTGCAACACGCCAGGGGAAGAAAGGCTGCGGGTTGCCAGGGTTTAGGGTTTAGGGGACAGGGTTTAGGGTTCAGGGTTCAGGGTTTAGGTTTAGGGTTTAGGGCTTAGGGTTTAGGGTTTAGGGTTTAGGGTTTAGGGTTTAGGGTTTAGGGTTTAGGGTTTAGGGTTCAGGGTTTAGGGTTTAGGGTTTAGGGTTTAGGGTTTAGGGTTTAGGGTTTAGGGTTTAGGGATGGTGAAGGACTTGGAGTTTTGAGGGCTTTCTTGGAGGGTCTTGGGAACTTAGAAGCGGGGCTGCAAGTGGGGCAAGTATGCTCGTCGCCCCGCTTCCAAGCACCCGTGGAGGGCACCATCACAACCGAACCCGAAGATCTCCTCAACTTCTGCGGAGCCCGAGCATGCTTCAGAAAGGACTACACCCGAGACTCTCCCAGCGGTCCTGACTCTGAACGAACATTCTGCAAGAGCGGGAGGGGGGGGGGGGGGCAAATTCAGATTGAACGGTTCTTCGGGCAGCTTAGACAAAGCATTATGCGACCCTGCATAAAGGTTCATGGGTACTTTGAAGTAGGGTTATAAGTACCCTCAATACGGATACAACCTGTACCCCACTTGTCACCCTATATACATATATGTACGTACGAACCTCCAAGTAAACTCTACACAAACCCTAAACCCTAAAGCCTATAAGCCCCAACCCTACAAAGTGCAAACCCTCTATACCTTACAAACCCTAATTACAATTCCTGTAAACCCTATAAGCCCTATAAACCCTATAAACCCTGTCAACCCTATTCACCCCATAAACCCTATAAACCCTGCCTACAAACCCTACAGACCCTACAAGCCCTATCAAACCTAAAAAATCCCTGTACACCCTGCAAACCCTATAAACCCTCTAAACCCTATAAACCCTATAAACCCTATAAACCCTATAAACCCTATAAACCCTCTAAACCCTCTAAACCCTCTAAACCCTATAAACCCTAAACCCTAAGTCTCCTTGCCTTACGGGGCGTTGGGCTCTCTGGCTCCGAGCATCTTGGCCGACTCCTTGAGGCCCTCGGGGTTGCAGTGCTCCAAGATGTCGATGCTCACGCGCGTGGTGAAGGCCTTTTGGGGGTTTGGATCTGAAACCCGAAACCCGAAACCCGAAACCCGAAACCCGAAACCCGAAACCCGAAGCCCGAAACCGCCGCGAGCACTTCTAGAAGGGATGTGTGTGTGTGTGTGTGTGCCGCAAGGGTGTAGGAGCTAGAGATGACAACTGAGGCTTCAGGAGTCAAGCTTAGGGCACGCAGGGAAGATCACAAGCTCTTCAAAGACGAGGGGCTGCAGGTTTGTGCCTGCTTCTACATTCTTGCCATCATGCCTTCCCCACGGTTAGGCAAACCCTAAACCCTAAACCCTAAACCCCAAACCCGCAACTATGCAGAGCTCAAACAGTCCTGGCCCAGGATGAAGAACAACAGCGCCAGGACTGAGACGACCACCACCGCGACGTAGGAGGGCGTCGAGCCATCCTGTGTAGCTTTTTTGGTTTGTTTGTTCGGGGTTTGGGGTTGTAATACTAGGCATTCAAATAACCAAATAACCATGTACACACACACACACACACATATATATATATACATATGGTTTTATAGTTATACATGTACAATGCAACACCCCGCGCCCCCCCGAAAGGTCCATCTCAAAAGCCAAGGCTTTTCAAGGAAGAATACGCGACATGCTGCACCGTCGCAGATGGAAAAAATCTTCCGGAACCTCCAAAACTCCGGGAGCTAACAGGCCCGAAAAACATTGGGACTGTACAGCAGCTGTGCTGTTTTCGGATTGATTTGATTGGAACAGAATCTTTTCTTTCCTGGGCCTCAAAAAAATCTCGTTTTTTGCTTGGGTGTCGGGATGCAAAAGGACCCTGGGCACCAACAGCGCTAGTCTTTGTGGGATCAGGAGGCAAAAGTTTGGGACAGCACATCCTAATTTGGCTGTTTGGGATCGGTTTTTTGGGCATCTTGGCGACCTCGTAAGTACTATACTGTCCCAGTCTCCTGGGGTCTGGAGGTGAGTTGTCTCAATCGTTTCCGCGTACCAGCTGGGGAGCGACTACTAAGCAGTAAAAGTGTAACACAGAAGTTTAACTAATTCGCGTAAAAAGGAGATCACGTTTTAAGTTGCAAGCCTTTTGCTAGTTGAACTCAACGAACAACACAACAAACCCCTAGTTACAAAGCAAGAAGCCAGTCCCTGACTCTAGCGAGCATATGGGACATCGCTTGGCCTAGCCGGTGTCCTGCATTCTCTTCCAAAGTTCCCAGGGAATCATTGTCTACCTAGTAAGAGTGCAACCCTATAAGTTCAACTCGCTCAATAGATGACATCATGCTCTTTGGTTGCAAGCCCTTTGCTGTATCAATTCAGCTCATAACATGATTAGCCTCTAACTACAAAAACATACCAGCTAGCCCCTGATAAGAACAATTGTTTGGCGCACCGGTCGTCCCAGTAGCCTTCAATCTCCTCTACAATTCCCGGCTATTCGAACAGCAACAACGTTAAACTAGAAGTTGCCTCCTAACTTGGGGAACTACTTTGAGCGCCTTTTTTTCTGCAGGTTATAAAAATCGCATATGTAAGATGCATTCCGCACAGAACACGTATGGGCTTCAGAATCAAGATCTCTGCCAACTGTGCACCCAGACCATGAGCGAGTTCTACAAGTAACCCATCGTCTTCGCGAATGCCCCATGTGCCTACCTCTTGCACAGACGAGCTCCTTGCTTGGTACATGTCCAAGATTACTTAAAAGAGCGAAAAACAGCAGCTTCCGGTGGCAAATGGTGTGCATCACACACACACACACACACCATGTGTCGCAGGAAGCTAGTTACTTTTTGCGGATGCGTTTGAAACAAGTAGAAATACAGAACCGTGCGAAGGCTTGCAGCAGCCCGTCCCTTCACTTCTACTGCTCACTCAGTCACAACGGACTCGACAGCACGCAAAACGAGAATCTTTGTGGGGGTTCCTGTAGCTTACATATGAGCGACCGGGTGAGGGGTGTCGCTTTTCAAGTGTTGCCGTCGCTTTACAGTTTTTTAGCATCATCAGCTACCCACGCTTGATGCCTGAAGGTGTCGCACTAGACAAATTAACGGTTATAGCCCATGACAACGTTTCACTATAATTTAGGCCATCGCTTTACAGGGTTTTGGGCGTTCGTGTCCACCCCTTGCTTGCTTGAATGGCTAGGGGTTCGGGCACTTGCTCATATGGTTGTGCCCTATGCGTTCTTGACCCCCCCCACAAGGCATTCCCACGCTCTCCCCCGTGCCCCCCTTGAGCCCCAAGCCCTAAGCCCCAAGCCCAAAAACAGCAATCCCTAAACCCTAGGCCCTAAAATCCACAAACCCTGAAGCCCTAACCCTAAACCCATCAAACCCTAAACCCCAAAACTGCATGGGGGGGGGTTGGGGGTTTTGGGGTCAGGGGAGTGGGCTGCCTGCTCCTCCTGCCACCACGCCATGACTCTTATGGAGGTTTCCAGCACCTAAATCTGAGTACTGAGAGAGCCTGACGAGCAATAGAGCCCTGAATTGCGAGAATCATTCAGAGCTTCTTTGCAGGTGCATGTTTGGGTGCTTCTCTGCGACTTGGGCTTTGAGCCGCGACTTGAACGCTGCGCCGGCACTTGAGGGTTTAAGGGCTTTGGGTTTAGTGCTCAAGTGACATCCTTCATGTCATCCCTCCCTCCAAGGCGTTGTCTTTCAGTGAACTGGGTCTGGTGGTAACTCCAGTGCCCTACCGACAGAGCCACTCCAGAAATCTTCCAGATCTCAAAAACGGCGCCTGTTTTTTGTTTTGTTCTTTTTTTTTTGGGGGGGGGGGGGTTAGGACTTCGGGTTGAAGGGGCCGCTATAGGGTTTGTTAGGCTTGTGAATTTTGGAGATTGCGGTTTAGGGTCTGTCGGTTCACGCAGAGCACCCTGTGCTGAAGCCCGCGTGCTCAAAGTTCACTCCTCATGTCATGCCACCACCCTCCCAAGCAGTGTCTTTCAGTCAACCGGGTCTCGTAACCGTGAACCCTAAACCGCAATCCCAGAAATCACCCGAAAGGAAAGGTGTAGATACCTAGGCCTAACAAGCACTGGCACTGCCGGCGGGCCGCCTATGCCGTATGCCCGAAGCCCTAAACCCAAAAAAACGAGGGGGGGTTGGCATGGGGGTCTAGTCCAGAGGCTTGGTGGCTCGAGCAGGCACATGTGGGGCAAATCCACTTTCTTACTGGTCGGCAGATGATGTTTTTGGGCTCCCACTTCTGGGTAACTACAGTCACCTTAAGCTAGCTGGAGGAATGGTATACTCTGGCATAATACTAACTCTTGGCCGATGTTTTTGGATGCTTCTTGCAGTTGGCTTCGGAAATCTTCGGAACACTAGCTACAGCCTCTCTTGGAAGTTCAACGGTTTGTTGTATTCTGGGTTTGTGTTCTAAGAAAAACAAGTCCAAGGCTTAGCTGATGTGTGCCATAGCGACTCGTCAACCGAGCAGCATGAATCCTATGTCATCCCGCGATGCCTCCGACGATCCCAGGCTCGATATTTTCACGTTCGCCGTCCGTGAACTCGACACTCTTTGTTGTCGGCACACGCGGTTTTCCGCTTGATGAACGGGGTTCCACCGGCAGTGGCCTCACAGTCAGCAACACTCCCGATGTTTTTGGGGGGATTGGGGGGCTTACGGGCTTCAGTGTGGGGGGTGAGTGGGGGGGTGGAGGGGGGGGGGGAGGGGGGGGGGGAGGGGGGGGAGGGGGTGGGGGGAGGGGGGGTGGGAGAGGTGGGGGGAGAGGGGGGGGGGCAAGAATATGGGGGTGCAGAAGGGGGAGGCAGGGGGGAAGCAGGGCGGGGGGCAGGGCGGGGGTGGGGGGGGGGGGAAATATGTGAGCCTGCCCATCGCCGACAGCACTTCCTTAGCCCAAGACCAGACAGCTGGGGCTGCTGCGGGTTTAGGGTCGCTTCTGGGTTAGGACTTAAGGGTTTTAAGGGCTTCGAGCTCAGGGGGAAGAGAGTTTAAAGGAGTTTAAGGTCTTTTTGCAAAGCTTGGCGTGAAAGGTTTGAGGGCTTTGTCCCGAAACTGAGGGCTCTTGCAACCAAGCTGCTGCAACCCTTCGAGGGTCCTCTGAAAAATGGAGATGCTGTGAGAGGATGAGGGGTTAGGGTTTAGGGTACCAGCAAGATCCAACAAGCACAACTTGAGACATGCGGCTACCCCCAATTTTGGGAGAGTGCCTGCGACCGGCAGATCTGAACACCGTGAAAGCACACCCACAAAAATGCCCACACCTCTCCTCAGCCCACACACACAAGCATTTCCCCAACATCATTCTTCAACCCTGGAAAACCTAAAGTGTAGAGTTTAGATCCTAGGGTTTGGGGTTTGGGGGTGAGGTGAACCCTCAGTGGCGCGTCCTCAGGACTCTTCGCCTCCTGCGCCTCCGCTTGGGCATCCTCAGCCATTCCACCGGCCTCACTGCTTGTACTTTGACAAGGGCTAGCCTGTAACTTAACACAAAAATACCCTGAACCCCTTAACCCCACACCCTGCACCCCTAAACTCCCTAAACCCCCTAAACCCCCTAAACCCCCTAAACCCCCTAAACCACCCCCCCCCCCCCCGCCCAAAGCCCACCAAACTCAAATGCCTCACCCCGAAACCTCCTGAAGCACGCCTCGTCGCCGTCTTCATCGACCTGGCCGTTCACGCTTCAGGGTTTGCAGTTCACGGTGTAGGCTTTTGGGGTGGTTTCGGGTTAAGGTTTAGTCTTTGCAAGGGTGGTGAAAATTCTGGAACTTTGTCCTCCTCGAGGATGGGTTTCATGCAACATCGTCCGAAGAATCGTCCGCGCTCGTGTCCAAGGACTACACAACATGAGCCCAAACGAAATCTCGGGACTCACACAGCGTAGACCTCGAGACAATCGAGCCCTGATCTCGAAACATGGAACCTTACACGCTGAACTCCGAGCCCTGAATCCGATCAAGTGATGGCCTGCTCCTGTCCGGGAGCGCGTCTCACCTGGCACATGCTGGGTTTGGGGCCGCTTGGGGCTTTGGGGTTTATGCGCAGAGCAATATGGAGTTTCATCTGATGGCCCCTTTGGGGTACCCTGAATATGAGGCCCCGTGATAGAAGAATGTGAGAAGTACTTCAGAAGAGACCAGTCTCAACCTGAATCCGGCTGGGCCTTCTTCATCCTCCGCTTCCCTGGCGTCAGAGAGTCGGGCTTGGAGTCTCAAATTTGGCTTCTTCTTCTTCTTCTTCTTCTTCTTCTTCTTCTTCTTCTTCTTCTTCTTCTTCTTCTTCTTCTTCTTCTTCTTCTTCTTCTTCTTCTTCTTCTTCTTCTTCTTCTTCTCATATGCCCTTCGGAACATCCGAGTCTGCGCAGTTTTCACAAGCGTGCCAGCCTTCAAAGCCACGAAGCAACATGTAAAGAGCCGAAATCCCAAACCCTGGCCACCATCAAGCAGGTCGCCTTCGCAAATGCTCAACAGCTGGTCGATCTTGCCATCGAGGCCCGTTAAAGTGCGGATCTTGCCATCGAGGCTCGCTAACTTGTCGATCTTGCCATCGAGGCTCGCCAACTTGTCCTACGCGCGAGAAAACCAAAAAATTGCTCGCGTCCCGGCTGTAAACCTCTACGCTCTGAACCTCAAGCCCCACATCCTAAACCCTAAACTGCGGGTGTTTGCTTGGAGCTTCGGGCAGTTTCCTTAGGGACCCCTTGCGCGGCAGTCTGTCCAAACTGTCCATACTGTCCGCAACTATCCCACTGGTGGACCGCACGTGCGCCCGGCGCGGATAAAGTTTCCCCAGCCCTTTACAGTCTTAGCTGTAGCCACCCTAAACCCTAAACTCTAAATCCGAAACCCTAAACCCTGTAGCCTCCAGGGCCTTTAGGAGGCTGTGAGGCCTCGCCTCTAAAAGCCCGTGCATGCACTCGGAAGGTGCAGAAGGATTTGCCTGACGAAAAAACCATTAAAAAAAAACTATATATATATATATATATATATATAAACAAAAAGTAAAATTGCCGTGAAAAACGTAAAACTGCGAAACACACGCACACACACAAACACACAAATTCACATATTTACATATTTACATATTTACATATTTACATATTTACATATTTACATATTTACATATTTACATATTTACATATTTACATATTTACATATTTACATAGATTTACACATTTACACATTTACAGATTTACATATCTATTTACATATTACATATTTACATATTTACATATTACATATTTACATATTTACATATGCATATACATATATATATATATGTATTTATCTATTTATTGATTTTTATCTACTTATTTCATACTTCTTTACTTATTTATTTACTGATTTTCTTGTTTTATATTTATCTCTCTATTTATGTAGTTATTTCTTTCTTGTGTTCTTTCTTTCTTTCCTTCTTTCTTTATTTCTTTCTTTGTTCATTTATTACTTTATATATGTAAATATTTATATATTTATATTTAGAGGCCTCGAAAAGGCTGCGAACAGGCAACGACAAGGCTACGAAAAAGACAGCCCCCCACCCTAAAAGAGATCATAAGAAAAAGGTAAAACAACATAAGCAGGCCAGTTATAAGCAAAAACAATGGACAACAGAGCAATACTAATCGTTCGAATACTGATGAGAAGAACCATTGCAATCAAAAACATGATACTGATAATAATTATTGTACTAAAAATATTATTAACAATTAAAATAGTAATGACAACAAAATTACAGTGACAACTAAAGTGCTTTCCGAGAAGCCCAAGGACGGTCTGACTGGAACGCGATCTGCATTAAGGGCTTCATCGGGATCAGGGTGCCAAGTTGGGTTTGGGGTTTGGGGTTTAGGGTTTAGGGTTTAGGGTTTGGGGTTTAGGGTTTAGGGTTTAGGGTTTGGGGTTTAGGGTTTAGGGTTTAGGGTCTAGGGTTTGGGGTTTAGGGTTTAGCGTTTGGGGTTTAGGGATGTTTAGGGTTTAGAGACTTCGAGGCACGGCACGCTGCCCCAACACAGAGCCCATTCCAAAACCCCAAGCCGCCCCCAGACACCAAGCCTTCTAGCCATGAGACTTGAAAGGGCTTTAGGGTTTAGGGTTTAGGGTTTAGGGTTTAGGGTTTAGGGTTTAGGGTGTAATCCCCTCAAACCCTTTCAATCCGCATCTGCTGAAGTCCTTCTGCTCCTCGAGCTGGTCTTCCAGGTGCTCCAGCCTTTCCTCTGGCACGGAGGGTTCAAGTTTTTCGGATTTAGGGTTTAGGGTTTGGGGTTTAGGGTTTAGGGTTTAGGGTTTAGGGTTTAGGGTTTAGGGTTTAGGGTTTAGGGTTTAGGGTTTAGGGGAACTACTTTGTTCGGTGTGTAGGGGTTAAGCATGTAGGGTTTCAGCTTGCAGGTCTGCTGAGTGTTTGGGGCGTTTCTGGCGGAGGCTTTGCTCTGCAAAGGTTTTAGGGTTTAGGGTTTAGGGTTTAGGGTTTAGGGTTTAGGGTTTAGGGTCCTGTTTCGCGTGAAAGCCCCCGACTCGCAAAACAGACCGATATTGGGGACAGCCGGGGTTGGGGTGGAGGGGCGAAGCCGCCCCCGCACTTGGAAAAAACATAGCGATCAGATGTTGGGATGTTCCCCTTATACTAACAGTCCTTACTGGGAATTATAGGCTATAATAGGGGGGTACTATTATCCCTATTAAGGACTGTGAGTGTCCCAAATCAGATGGCATGTTGTTCGGACACTATGGGGAGGGGGGGGGGGGGGGGGGAACGTAACGACATGCGATTCGGACGAATAATAGGCTTGAATTGAACAACACTAATTGAAAATGAAAGCGTGGGGGTTGGGGACGTGTCGCAGAAGCCCCCTCCACTCGCAAACAGAATGGCCTGAACCATACGCAACCTCATCCAACAGTAACGCTTCTAGACCTGAGATTACCGACAACATGGCGGACCCATCCTTCTCGCTCTTGCCCGTCTCCTTCCGCACCAGTGCCAAGATCTCGCAATCACAGGCGGGCTTGTGATTGAACTGTCCGAAGAGGGTCAAATTGACGGCATAGTTCAGGCCTTCTATTCGGAAAACCGTCATCCCCAGCAGCTTGATGATGAATCTGCCAGAATATTTGACCAGGTAGGCTAGCAGACAGCTTACAAGTGACAGAGTCAAGAGAACCGGGGAAATGACGAGGATCAGCAGGGCCACAAACTTGTGACACGTCATCACAGGCTTCTGCACCACCCGCCAACACAAACGCTCAAAGATGTTCGGCAGGACATTCTGCAAGGGGGTTAAGGCTGCTATCCCCAGCTGCGCGAACCATCTATAAGGCAGTTCCGACATCTCAAACTCCTCGGCCACTGCAGCATCCTGCTCAGCATTGCTGAAGGTACTTTACTAAGGACTTGCCGGTGGTCGGGATTAGGATACAAGTTGGGAAACGTTTATTTGGCCTGCTTCGGGAGCAGGACCTCCGTGACCAACCGGATCCATGGCCTTCGCTGTTGCTCCAGGAGCATCCTCGCCCGGGCCTGCACGAACAAGATCTGTGCCCGACCCTGGTGTAGCTCATAGTTTTGGCCCAGGATGCCGATCAACAAATTCATGAGCAGCACGGTGATGCCTATGCCAGTGATGATGAATGACAGCTGCAGATACCAGAAGAGCATCGGGTCAAGTTCACTTGGGCTGGGATCTGTGGGATCCCAAGAGCTTTCGTTGCCGCCGCTTTGCGTATAGACGGTGTCTTGCCCCTGATATTCGAAAAGGTCAAAGTCTCCGAAAATGGCAAGGCGGATTGTGTGGGTGAGCGCGGAATAGACTGGCATCTCGTCTCCTTGCCGGGGGCCTAGAATGTAGTATGCGTGGGTTGCACCTGCGGCACAGAGGAAGGTCACAAAAAAGAATGCCCAAGTATCTCTGACCGCTGACAGAATGGGCAGGAGATATGGCCCCAGCCATCTTTCTCCACGCAGGCTGTATACAAATCGCAGCCAGTACATTGCACAGAACCATGGCAAAAAGATCTTGTCAAGCTCGCTGCCGCATTTGTTGAACTGCTCAAGAATAGCGAAATAGCCGACAAAAAGAAACAGCAAGTCAGAAAGACCTTCCAAGATTTCAGCACCCCGATTGCTGACCTCTGGCTCCTCATCCTCTTGCTGGTTCTCATCGATCGACTTGTCTTTGCCTGTGGAAATGACCGAGGGTTCCAGGTACTTCCATACAACAGGACCAAACAGATGGCCAAAGTGCACCACACATTCAATAGCCTCTTTGCTGTGAATGCATGCCAACGTCCCCAATGCACACCTCACGACCATGCTGACAATCGGCTGTTGAAGGGCCTAGCCTAAAACACTCAGTGCTAAAGCGTGCCGGAGGCTAAGTCATCGGTAGATGCGGCTCCTAACATCTCAGGGCCTGGCTGAGCGTACACATTTGCTTCCTGGGGCTCGTTGTCCGGTCCGGGTCCGCATCGGCTGGTTGCAAGGCACAGGCAGGCCAAGGCCAAGGCATCAAGCCCGCTGTCGATGGCGGTGACCGCTCGCAATTGAAGCCATGCTGCACCAACGATCACTTCTACAGTATCCGTGGCTAACGTCTCCTCATTAGCCGTCTCAGCTACTGCTGCCAGAACTTTCTTATCACAGGCCACGACGGCTGAAATTCGAAGCGTTCGCAAGGATGTTTGCACTTCTGGCGCGTACAGCATATTCTGCAGCTTCAAATCATAATCCGGAATCGAATTGGGCATCGAGTTGGTGTCCTTGCTCTTCTCCTCACCCTTGTCCTTCTGCGCATTCCCACCCACACGCGAAGCAAACCTCTTGGCTAACTTGCTCGCCTCCTGCTCACGCTCTCGCATCTCCTTCTCTCGCAGTTCCTGCTCGTGCTGCTTGCGGAGCGCTCTCGTCAGGAGACATTCATCCTGCTCAGGGATAAGCTTTAGGCCTGAGGTCTGAGGGCTCAGGCACTCGAAAGCAAGAGTTGCTAACTGCATCGGGTGAAGCCTGAGCCCCATAAACCTGACGGCCGGCCCTCAGAGGTAAACTGCCGTGCGGTCAAGCGAACTAGGGACAATGGGGGCAAGCCTGTCCCTGCAGGTTGCGCGAGGCTGAGTCAGCCACAGTCACCATAAGACATACAATCAAGGGGGTGCCACTTTCTAGTCTGCCTGGCGAAAAGAACACCCATTCGGCAGGAGCGTGGCTTCTGGCCGCCCCGTCCCCAGGAGTCCGTTACCTTTGCGGGCGCCCCCGTAAACTGAAAAATCACCTCTCCCAGTAGACTAGTCTGGCTCTAAGGGAAACTCCCTCCCTGGAACCAACTAGAACATCTTGGGTGGACCACCGATGAGCCTCCCAAGCCGAAGACACCTTCCTACGCCTCTCTTGCAACCCCAAAATGCACATCGTAAACTCCACAGGCTAACATGAGTCTCCCACTTGTTGGCTTTAGGTTGCAGCCGTTCGGAGTTTTTGCAATATGCCGTTTGTAAGACGCGAGTGGTCTCGTTTGAGGGTCAGTCCACAAACGTATTGGGACAAAATCCTGATGGCCCGACCTTTCTTGGGAGAGCAGGGGCGGGATGAAAAAACTGGTCAAACCCTTCTGTTGGCTTGCCTGCACGCTGATTCTGCCTGAATTCTTTGGCCCGCATGTCCCCGAATAAATCCATCGGCCTGACCCCAGAATATCGAAAACAAACACGACCCAGCACCGAGTGCCAGAGGGCCTGACCTTTCCCTCGTTTCCACCCGGACACACCGGCCCCTGCTAACGCACTGGTTGTGTCTGAGTCCCGGATGCAATGCTTAGCGACTTGCGGGAGAACTTCGCACCGCTCTTGACAGGAAGCCCCCCCCTCCAAGGCATCTCCCACAGGCTTGCTGGTCCCTCTACGTTGGCAGCTGCTTCCGACCCCCTGCCTCACAACAGCTCTCCAAGTCGCTCATCAGGTCGTCCATCCGTGGTGGTGCAGCGAATTGCTTCCCCAGCCAGCCGTGGCTTTTGAGTATCGTGGCGACCCCAGCGTGCATGCCACCCATCGACGTGATGGCCTCGATCTGACGGAAGCTGTTGCCGGAACATTCTGGCATCCTTGTTAACTTCGCACAAAAGTTTATTTGAAGGTGGACATGTGCCCCTGAGCAGGCCTCTTCCAGGTTGGACTTTTCAGAGTCCCATCCACCATGACAAGGAGCTTGCGCGAGATATGCCAGGATTTTCGAGGCTTCGTCCTGGGATTCGTCCTGGGCCTCGGACGCCCCCAGGGACTCTTCTGAGGATCTAACTAGGTCAGTTTGCCTCCTCCCTCCCCTTCCCCATAGCCTTGGGAGAGCAGCAATTGCTATTGGGGGCCTGTGGGTCCCCAAAGTTCAGAACAGCATACGTTTTCGCTTGGCAACTGACCCGAGACAACAAGTGTCCCGAGGTGTCGCACAAGCTGCTCTTGCTCTGCATCCCTAAGCCTGATTTATGGTTTTAGGTCCCCAAGGTTTCGGGTAATCCGGTCCTTTTTCCCTCTGTGGTCGCTTTCGATGAACCGGGGGGGGGGGGGATTTAGGGGGGTACGAGGAGAGTTGGGGGGAGGGGGGAAACCATACTGTAGCTATTTACTTTCATGCTTGTTCTGGTTATGTCTGAATCGGTAGGCTGTAGGGCGGGCGTATGTCGCCTTCATCTTCATGACACAACCTCTACCCTGAACATCCTGAAATGCCCCCCGCCCTGAACTCAGCGCTGGCCTCCTTGTCGTTGTTGACGTCGAGGTGTTCCCTCAGCTTCTTAGGCTCCATACCCCAACTGAGGTCTCGTCGGTCGCAGTCTTTCACACGATATCACGCAGACCATTTCAGACCCTGAACCCCTGGTTCTCAGTACAAGGAATGAGGTACCCTATATTATCCCGTAGAGGGTGCATCATTCTCTCACTCCCTACCAAGAACCAGGGGGCCTTACACAATGCAAGATAGGGTCACGAGCTTGAGGCTACGTCTGAAAGCCCGCTGCGGACAGGGTGCCCCCACTCCGGACCATGGCCATCGAGCTCTCCCAGGATGGTGCGCACGGGCTCGCGCAGTCTCTGCGGCCCGCAGTTGACTTCAACCGCCTTCCCAGGTCAAGGCAGAACTTTAGGGTTTAGGGTTTAGGGTTTAGGGTAGGGTTTAGGGCTTAGGGCTTAGGGTTTAGGGTTTAGGGTTTAGGGTTTAGGGTTTAGGGCTTAGGGTTTAGGGTTTAGGGTTTAGGGTTTAGGGTTTTTTTCCCTCCTCTCACGCTAGGTTCTCATCAGGCCAGAGTGGAGAGGCCGATATCTGTCACCGCTAGTCGGGCCTGCCCCCAGCACCTGTTCATGGAAGACTGAGAAACATTTCCACCTCCACCATCCAACTCCTACCATCCGGCTGTTTTTCGTGCCGTTTTGGGCTTAGTCAATTTGGTGGCACCTCCGTCGTGGCGTGGGCATAAGTGCGCTGTAGGTATGGTGCTTGGAGTGTAGCCATTACGTCGAATCGGGTCTGAACATTGACAGCAGGCCCACTGAACCATGGTGGACTAAATTTACTTCTGGTGGGCAACTCACAGCAACCATCCTGCAAGAAAGGGAGCAGCCTGAGAAAACACAACCACCAGCGAGCCGCTCCTCTCTACTGAAATCTACTCTAGTACTCTGAGCCAACCACTCTGCAGAACACTGGCTGTAGACAGACGGCAAATCAGGAGCTACCCAGCCTCCTGCAACAAACTCTCAACCATGTCGGTATACTCCTCCCCCTCGCTGCGCAACAGGAAGTCCAGCAGGCGTACGAGGCGTCTCCCCATGCTTTTGTCAGGCGTATCACCGGTCAGGCTTTCTGAATCCCTTAGAGATGCCTGTGACAGCACTGTTTTCGCATCTTGCACTGTGGCTTTCGGGTCAGCTCTTTTCTGCAGCAGCAGCGCCACCATGTCCTTGGCATCATCATCTGTCGTTCGCGCGTAGGCGGCTGCAAGCAGAGGCGTGAGAGACGTCGCGTTAGGGCTCCTGAGGGGAGGAGGGGGTCGTAGGTTCGGATCGGCCCTCATCTGCAGAAGAAGTTCTGCCACGTTGTAGCAGTCTCTGGCAGCAGCGTGTAAGAGCAGCCGCCTCCTTTCTTGCTGTTGTTTGCGACGTTGTTGCTCCTCCTTCGATGCGGTCGGGTCAGACAGCTGATGTCTTTCTACGGCATCCGGTATAGCTCGATGCTGCAGCAACAAGTGAACCAGGGCGAAGCTGGCGGCCACGAACAAAGCTGCGGACTTGTGCTCGGCTTGCAATTTTGAATCTACCTGGTTCTCCGCCATCTTCCGCAAAAGGAGCTTTGTCACACCCACGTTGCCTGTTGCAGCGGCCACGGAGAGCGCAGTGCACCCGCGTTTGCCTGCTGTTTGTGTCGGGTCGGCACGGTTCAACAACAAGAGCCGCGTGATGTAGTTGCAGTTGCGTTCCCTGTTCAGGGTCGGATCAAGACGAGTGGCCGCAATCAGGGCAGTGGCGCCTGGATTTCGGTCCAGCAGAAGATCAGTCACCAGTTGGTGGTTGTTCTCCAAAGCTGCAGTCCGGAGCTCACGTTCGGCACTCTCGGCACTCTCGGTGGAAGACGTGAATGGAGGCATCACGGCAAAGGCCCAATTTGCCCATGGGTCCTTGCTGACAGAGGGGGATAAAGATATCATCTCCCTCGACCCTGGGGCTCTGCTACAGGGGCCGATGTAGGATTTCAAGCTTTAAGGATCGAGGGCTTTAGGGACTACAGGGTCCGCCGCTTCTAGATACAAAGCGACGAAGCATGCGTCCTTGTTGAGCTCGTCCGCCACCTGCAGTCTGGGGTAGAACTCAGGAGTTTAGGGAAGCAGAGTCCCTCAACCCGAAACCCGAAACCCTAAACCCTAAACCCTAAACCCGAAACAAGGCTAGGACTTGCAGTTCACGGCCTCCTGCTGCTTCTGCACCTTCTGGACCGCCCAAATAAAGCTCTTCCGCTCATCGGCCTGGGCTCAAGTTGGCCAGGAGGACTCAGGGGGTTTTAGCGGTTTAGGGTTTAGGGTTTAGGGTTTAGGGTTTAGGGTTTAGGGTTTAGGGTTTAGGGTTTAGGGTTTAGGGAAGCAGAAGACTCTATGACCCTTGAAGCCCACAAGGGCTCAGCCATTGAGCCTCCAGGCACTGGAGAAGGTAGGGATTTCATTCGGCCGGGCGTGGAATATTTTGTTCAAACCCCTCCTCCTTCGGGTTCGAGCTCGACAAATTAAAAAAACACAAAAACGAAGGGCACAAGCCATCGAGTTGCGGCAGAGAAGCTCCAGGGAGCGGGGTCGTGTGAGACTTCGTCGGCAAGGCTTTCTTCCACTTAGCCATAGCTTGGGTTCAAGTGCTACCCAGGTGTGGAGACATCGTTACCAGAAGGGTCCAACTTTGGGATCCCTCTGGTGCCCGAAGCCGGAAAAAGGCTGCGCCGGCTACGTGGTTGTTTTTGGGATGTCGTCGGCAGACGAGTGCTGCATGAACCACTAAGCCTACTGGAAGAAGGCGTGGCGTAATATGATCAAGTCGATTCAAGCTGCCCGTACGAAGGAGCCTAGGGGAGACGCTACCCTAAGCTCGGTGAGGGGTTGATGACCCCCCGCTTAGGGGGCTAGCCTGACATGTCTTACTATGGTTGAGTGTTGCTTAATCGTGACATGGAGAAAACAACTCATGCGGATTCGCACGAGGCCCCCGTCCCTTATACTTTCCAGCCTATATTGCGTAAGGCAGCCTGAGAACTGACTTAAAGCTTTAACGGCTTAGGAAACAAAGGCATTTCAGGAAACATCAATCGAAAAGTGCGACACCAGCGGGGACAACGATCAGAGGAGCCACAAGCAATACTTGCAAAAGCATTGACACGAAGTTCTCGGCGCACCACTCTTTTCCCATGCAAGCTTCTTGCACCTGTCCGTGAGACGAGGTTGAAAACACTAATTTTAAACAGCTTGTTGGCTAGATGACACAATCCTAGAACCTGAAAAGGCTGAAGGGCGCTTGAAATGTTTGGGATGGTTAACCCTAAACCCTAAACCCTAAACCCTTAACCCTAAACCCTCAACCCTGAACCCTAAACCCTAAACCCTAAACCCGAAACCCTAAACCCTAAACCCTAAACCCTAAACCCTAAACCCGAAACTCTAAACCCTTAACCCTTGGGCCACAAAGGGTCCGCGGCCCAGGTCCGGAGACAGCGCACGCCGAAGGAGCACCTCTCTCGGGCAACAAAGCTTTAGAAGCTGAGGTTACTTCTGCCCTAAACTCCAAACCCTAAACCTTAAACCCTAAACCCTAAACCCGTAACCCTAAACCATAAACCCGACAAAGCAAGTAAGCTCTTTTGCTGGAAGGCAAAGCCTTGGATTTGCTAACGAGGCTTTCATGCAAGGCAGCAAGTCCAACTTCGGACAAAAGCTGCCGCAAAATGGAGCTCGGCACCTCTGTACCAAGCTACGAACAAATTCTACTGAAAAGAGCTTCCTTTGTAAGGGAACCCATAACCCAAAAAAAAGGGTAAAGATAGCAGCTGAGGGGGGAGCTACCACAGGGCCCTTTTTGTGAAGTCCCCTCTCATGGTCGGCCCCCCCCCCCCCCCCAGATCCCTGCAGCTTGGCCTCAGGCCAGAAAAGCTGCAAGGCCCAAAACCTTGAGCCCCAAGGGCTGTTCGCAAAACCTAATTTGAAAGTCCCTTTATTTGCAACCCCATGAATGAAGCCGCTAAAGCATGTCTTCAAACAAAACAACCCGAAGTACCCGGATCCCGCCTGAGGCTTCCTTAAATCACTGCTTTGAAGCCTGGTTGGGCAGCAGCTGGCCATCCTCACTTTCCGCGCTTTCCACTGCGTCCTCATCCCTTGACCTCGGCTGAAAAACTTGGGGCCATTTTGGAGCCCATCTCTTTGAGATCTCTTAGCATGTATGCCGTGTGCCATCTTACCATCTACAACCCGAAAGCTGCTTCCAAAAACACACAGTCTAGCAGCGTCGTCGATGGCGTGTTTGAGGTTCTGGCCATAGACCGCCATCTGTAGTAGTCCTTCTGCCAAAGCAAGTAGTCTTCGTGGATACTTTGCTGGGAAGACAGGCGCAGAGGTGCGCCATGCTGGGCATCCAGGGAGTTCGCCTCCAGGTCTTTGGCTTGGCCGGCTTTGTCCAGGCCTTCAAGCCGATCCGCGCGTCCCGGGAAGATGAGCCGCACTAGGACTTGCATGATGCACACCAAGGCCCCCGAACCATTGGGGACATAGACCCAGGGGTTGAGAGTGCTGACGCCATAGATGGTCCACAAGGTATTGCTGAGTAGCACCATCAAGACCAGAGGCAAGAGGATCGGCGAGGCATCCCGTCGACAGCAATAGGTATACAGGCGCATAATGGGCCGGCAATACGCGACGAAGGCCGCCATTGATGCCAAGCTGCCCAAGACCTCTTCCCTGAGCGACACGGGGAAGAGATCGCTGACGACTTCCAGGCCCGCGAGCTCCCACTTGCCCAAGAAGCAGCTGATGAAAGACACCGCAAGGAATCCTCCCACAGTCTGCAGCTCCAGCTTTCGCACCGTTTTGCCGCGCTGCTCTCTGCTGGCATCGTGCCAGGCCCCTAGGGTTTAGGGGTTCAGGGGTTCAGGGTTTGGGGCTGGGCGTTTAGGGGTTAGGGTTTGGGGGTTTAGGGTCTAGGGCGTTTGTTTTGTTTGGGGGGGGGGGGCCCGGGTGTCGTACTAGAGTGCTTACCTCCCTGGAGACCGCGACTGTCCGGCTTCGCGCACCAAGGCTTGGGCTGAGGCTTGCTACGCAAAAACAACTCTTTCCCAGCAAGGGCCCAGGCTCTGGATGGACTGCGTCGGAAGAAGGCACCGTCGAATGGTTTGCACAACTGGCTGACGGCACCCTCCTCCTGCCTCGGGTGTTGCTATGCCCTTACTCATCGCCCCAAGTGTGTTCACAGAACACCTTAAAACGAACGCTGCTGGACCCATATCATCCAGGCTGCGAGAGCAATGCGATGGCGCTGGTGATGTTGAAAAGGCAAACTGCCGCGGAGGGGCTCGAAGCCAGGAAGACCCAAATGTCCCCAACTTGCACGGCCCACACCGCCCAAATGTAGAAGTTCACGAATTGAACTGGCAGCTGCCTTGTGTCAAAGCCGTTCAAGCTTCCAACTGCCCTGGCACGGATCATCTCTCTGAGCGGCACCAATGCCATGCCAATGCTCAACACCGCACCGACACAGCCCGTTCCATGGATCAATGCCAGCTCTGATGCTGACATCTTGGTCTAAATTGCAACGCTACTGGAACTGCTTGGGGCACACAATGCTCCAAGAGATGCCACACAGAAAGCACGTAGCATCTATGAGGTATACTTTCACTGTGCCCTTTTTCCATTGAGTGCTGTCACCTGGGGCTGCGACGACTTCCAGCACTGCGCGGCTGGCGCATGAAGCCATGTTCCGGCTGAGCGAACAGCCCTTTGAAATCTTTGGGCCTTGGGCTGAAAAGCCTTGCGCGCTAAGCCCTGAGAAAACTACCACGCGAATATCTGGCAATGATTTTGTTGGTGCCACATGCGTGCTTGTTCTGTGGAAGACAAGGCTTCTGCTACCCACACATCCACGGCAGGGTGACGATTCTTAGCCTTCACCAAGCCCGCGGCCGCGCCGCGCAAGATCCGAAACCTGACACAGCACGCAATCTGCTTGAACCTGCTGCTTGCAGCATGACAGGCAAGGGGTGTCATGATAAAGAAACATTTCGACAGCCAGTATGCCAAGAGTGCCTTGAGGTTGCTCGGGGCGCAATTGCTCAACCTATGTAAAAAGCCTTGGAGCGCACAAGCTGTTGAGGGAACAGGGAAGCCATGCAACATGCATGGCAAAAGACACTCACTTTGCACGTCGCTGCTTGCTGGCTACTCACAGCTAGATTCTTGAGTGTCGCCTAACCACGACAACATACGACAACCTCAAATTGTTTTGGACACGCAAAACTCGACACGAATCTGCCCAGAACCTGCCAGGCAATGATAAAAGCTGCAAAGACACCTATGGGCGCGGAATTACATAAGAAATTGTTTTGCTTTCTTCTGGGAATTGTTTTTTTTGGTTGGGGCTTTTGGCTTAGGCCCCGTGCGCATTCCAATTCGTGAATGACGACCCCCTCGATGCTTCCGCGTGGCCCTGTCGCTCTCGCCTAGGTGCCGCGCGCATTCCCAAGGGCCTTTTGTTTTGAAGGTGTTGCTTTTTTTTTTTTTGGGGGGGGGGTCGTTTTCTGGGTTTTCGATTCATACTATTTTTCGTAGGATGTCCGATTAATTCTCTTTTTTTGGTGTGAGTTTTCTTGGTTTTTCCTTGAAAAGCTACATTCCCTCCATATTTTCATAGGATTCATACTACTTTTTGTAGGAGTTCTTATCTTCGTTCTCTTGGTTTTACGTCGGGAAAAGCTACGTTCCGTCCATATTTTCAAAAGACTCAGACTACTTTTCGTAGTATTTCTTAATCATTCTTGTTTTGGTTTATTTTTCTTGGTTTTTGGCTACATTCCCTGTACATTTTCATGGATTCATACCACTTTTCGTAAGATTTCTTATTATCTAAGGATGGGTTTCACTCGACTCGACTCGATTCCGCAGCGGTCTGGTCTGACCTACTAGCTAGCGGTACCTCATGACATGTGTCACGGCCGCTCAGCGGCGGCGATTAACAGCTTCGGGTATGGACATGCAAGGCAACTGCACAGGAACCGAAGTTCAACAAACTGTGCAGTACAGGGTCTCCAGCGCTCACAGTCGCTCAACCTAGCGTTCTCGCTCTTACTAACTAGGGAGTAGACTGTGACAGCTCAGCTGAACAGTGAATGAATTGTCAAAACGAAGAAAGCAAAAACACATCACGCCACTCTGCCTTGGGCAGGGGGCCGGAAACGGCAACCCCGGGACAAGTGCTGCGCAAGCCCTGTACACTGTACAACTTCAGCACTGAGCTACAAAATGGTCAGCTCAATGATGGATCTCACTCATGAAAAGCAGTCAGTTGAGGACCTCCATGGAGGGACGGACTCAGAGTCCACTAGAGCATCGAAATGCACTCCACAGGCCAATTTCAAGTGAAACGGAGTCCACAACAAGCCTCCATGCGTACCGCCAACTATTCTGGAACCACTGCTTTTGGGCAGCGTAGCCACCGATGACAGACACATTGGCACATCGTTCTGTCGTCCTGCCCACACAAGCTTGGCCAAAGCGGCAGCCTCCACGAGAGAAAGCTAGCAGAAGCACCCCACGAGGAAAGAGAACCATCAGAGCAATCCCAAGAACACCTCAGCGGCAGGTACACAGCGTAGGGGACCATCACGTTGAGGAAGCCCAATGCACCCACCAGATAAGAAAATAAAAAAATAGCAGCAGCATATTGAATAGAAGGGCCGATAATATGGCCCCCCCCCACAGGCCAGGTTGCCGTGAAGCCTGGCAATCGCAAGTGGCCAAGAAAAACCAAGCAAGTATGGGGTGAGTGTGCGGTACTGCTCCAGCACATGCATTGTACAAGCAAAGAACTGTGTCAAAAATGGTCAGCTTAACGATGATCCAAACTCATAGGGCAGACAGTTGAGGACCTCCATGGAGAGTCTGGTACTACGCATCGCGCAAGTTGCCTCATTGCCCGAAAACTCGCCATGGGCCGACCCACGAACTCCCAGAAGGGCTAGGTGGGAAACAGGAACGAACTGTCCACAACGAATGTCGTCACATATCCTTCCAGCTGTTGCAACCGAAGGTGAAATCAGAGCAGTCCCAGACGTCGCCTCAGCAAAAACGAATTCATCTGCATAGAGACAAACTGTAGCAGCACAATGTAGGGGCCGAAGACGGCGCCCTGCCCATAGGCCTGGTTGCCGTAAAGCCTGACAACCACAAGTGGCCATACATTCATCCCAAAATGCCTGATTGCCGCAAAGCCTGGCAACCGTAAGTGGCAATGAATAGTCATACAACATGAATAACAAAAGCAAATACGAAATAAATAAACCAAGCACTGAGCATAGGCGCGAGCTCGCTGGCAGTGAAAACACTGTACCTTGCAGTCCGCCCCGAAGCGTTGGTGCGTGCATAATGCCTGGCCAGTATCTTCGCCCACACATGAAGCCCAGGTGATCACGAACCTGATTGGCTCCCGCTGCAGCACTGGAATCTGCAGCAACCCTCACTTCTACCAGCAATACTTTTGGCCTGTCTTCAGTGGCCCATCCAATGCTGGTTGCCGGACTTGGGACCGGCACGGCTCGTAAAATAAAGAAGAGCGGACCTGCAGTGAGGATGCTTGAAGGTGTCACTCGTGTATCTCCCAACCGTGGGGCTAACTGCGTTTGCGCAACCAGCTCATCAAGTGGCAAAGGCGTCTCCAAAAAACATCCAGTAGCAGAATGCCATGCAAATACCACACCAGATCCATGAAGGCCAGTGAGTGCACCGAGGACAACCTGAATGCACGGGTCTCTGACATATCGCCATCGTCATTGCATCTGTGAATGCATCTGTGAATGGGTGCCGAAGTGCGGCTTCCCCAGGCTCAGTATTGAGAAACCATGTGCAAAAGCAAGAACTACAGCGTCCGGAGGGGGTCCAGTTGAACAGAGAACCTGTTTGGCCTCGAACCCGGTTGACCCCCTACCAAAAGAAACATGTGGTCCGAGCCGAGAAGCTTAGGATGGGTTTCAACAAGATTCATAGGCTTTGAAGCATGCTTTGCACGGCTTCAATCAAGCAGGGGGGTTGGGGAACAAGTTTCTTCAGATTTGAAGCACGCTTTGCACGGCTTAAAAGAAGCGGGGGTTGAGGGGGGCCGCACCCCGATGGGTTGCAACAACATTCACACTTTGCACGGTTTGAGAGAAAAAAAAACGCGGGGGTTTTGAAGCACGCTTTGCACGGCTTAACAGAAGCGGAGGGGTTGGCGGGGGGCGCAGCCCCCCCACTGGCAACCACAATGCTCACACGATGGGTTTCAACAAGATTCATAGGCTTTGAAACATGATTTGCACTGTTTATTCAATGCGGGGGGGTTGGGGGGGCGCAGCCCCCCCTTTTTTCGCAACTAAAATCAATGCTCACACGATGGGTTTCGTCAACATTCATATGCTTCGAAGCACACTTTGCACGTAAAAAAAAAAACCTGGGGGTTGGCAGGGGGGGGGCGCAGCCCCCCCATTTGACATGATGGGTTTCAACAAGATGCATAGGCTTTGAAGCAGGCTTTGCACGGCTTAAAGGAAGCGGTTGGGTTGGCAAAAGGCAGCCCCCCCATTTGCAACCAACGCTTAGACGATGGGTTTCAACAAGATTCATAAGAAATGAAGCCCTATTTGCAACCACAATGCTCACACTCACACGATGGCGCCAACAACATTCATTCGAATTGAAGCACACTTTGCACGGCTTAAAAGAAGCGGGGGGGTTGGGGGGGGGGGCGCAGCTCCCCTCATTTGAAAGCGCAACGCTCACATGATGAGTCTCAACGACTTTGAAGCACGCTTTGCGCGGTTTAAAAGAAGCCGGGGGTTGGGGGGGACGCAGCCCCCCCCCCCTCCTTTCGCAACTACAATGTTCACACGATGGGTTTCGACAGCTTTGAAGCACACTTTGCACGGTCAAAAAGCGGGGGTTTGGGGGCCCCATTTGCAAACACAATGCTCACACGATGGGTTTCAACAGAACTTATAGGTTTAAAGCAGGCTTTGCACGGCTTAAAGGAAGCTGAGGGGGTTGGAAAACGGCCCCCATTTGCAACCAATGCTCAGACGATGGGCTTCACTCGAACTCGAACTCGATTCCGCAGCGGTCTGGTCTGACCTACTAGCTAGCTGTAGTTCATGACATATGTCACGGCCGCTCTGTGGCGGCGGTTAACAGCTTCGGGTATGGACAGCAAGAGACGTCCTGCAGGAGCCGGAGTTCAACTAGACTGCAGGCAAAACGGTCTCAAGCGCAACAGAGCCTACCTGGACCTACCGTAAACAGGAAAGAAACGCGCACTCACAAGCTCAAATATACAGTGTATGTACAGGAGATACTATACTACGGCCGGTCTCACAGTTCGCTCACTCACAGGGCTAAACGGTGTGGGCACGCATGTGCCGCAAATGTCCGGGGGGCCGATGAAAGAACGGCACCCCCGTGCTGATGGAACAACGCATGGCTGCATGTGGTGGCATGGTTGAATTGAAAAGGACTCGGTACACTAAAGATGAAGAGCAAAAACACTCAGGGAGAGC